CTCGTCCCGCCTGGGTGAGGCGGGAGGGAGTGTCAGACTCTTACTGACTAAAAACCACCCCGTTCCTTCTCCTGTACTTCGAGCCGGAGCCCCGGTAACCTGTTAGGTTCTCCACGACATGTATCAAACGATAGAATGCAGGCACTCCCGTAGGACCGAAACACGCGTGACAGGAAAAGGGCCTTAGCATAAAGGTAAAATACATATACATACCTACCTGTTTTATCCTACCACTATAGTTAGTTTCTTTGGTAGAATTCAGTTCGTCTGTTATCAGTTAAACATTTAAACTGTCAAACACCAAGCGGTCACCGGTGACCGCAACCTATTGTTCTTTAATTGTGTCTATAAATACGGTACTCGACGAGTTAAGTATAAGTTTTATATAAGTTTTCAGTTAAACATTTTAAAATTTAATTGGCGATTATCAGCAGTCGGTAGGTATTTTGTTCATTACTATGCCCGTAGTGAATGCCATAGTCGTGGCCTCACAAAAGTTTACGTGGAAATTGTTGACTGTTTGAAAATCATCGTATGATAGGTAGGAAAACTGATAAAGATTTTTAAAATAGGTAGTTAATGTACCAGTAACAGACTGTGCGAGAATTCAATTCTCGCATTCTCACAGCTATATGAAACGGGACACTGCACTGGAACGGTTTTTGTCTGTAAAGATGCCACTGTCGGCTTCTCCAGACGGTGAGGCTTTATTTTCCACCTTGTGTTCCAAAAATGAAAGTTGTAGTAACATGGGTAGGTATCCTAGTGCCCTTGATAGGTATACATAGAATATTAATACAATGTTAAGGAAAGTAAGTACAAATAAAATCGATATTCTAACACTAAGTTACCACCTATGTATTATCGCGATAAGGCAATAGGGTAGTTGCCAGGGTATGAAAATTAAAAATCTAATTAGTCCGTCGGTTAGATAATGAAAAAAACATTAGACACGTATTTTTTTATTTTCTCGTATAAAAAAATGCGTGCCTAATATTTTTTTCAATAACAATGAGTAGGTAAAATGGCGTTAAGTTTAGGAATGGGAGGTCGACGTCACACATATTGTAGCACTTTGTGACATCACACGATATTTCAAATTAATATATCGTCGAAATTACATATTTAATTTTGTAAGAAAATAAATAATACGTGCCTAATGTTTTAAATATATCTACCAGACGAACATTAAAATGAAATTTAGGAAACTACCGTGTAGCAATCTGACTGCCCTCACCAGACAACCACCAACAACACTAAACGCAGTCTTATAGATACGTACGCCTAACAACCTTATGGACTGAGGAAGCGCAAAATGTTTAGGTCATGTCATGTAGGTATGGCTGTTCTGTGCTCAGATGCTCAATATATTTTTATTCATTTACATAGTGGGGCATTGTGTCAGAGAGGCCAAGAGTTACACACTTAAAAACTTTGAAAGCATATTTTAGCTCTTTCAAACGCAGACTTCTTAGGTCTAGCTATCCTGTAAAGTAACCACTGGACGAAATACTCCCAGGAAAATGAAAAATATTGAACAGGAAAATATTATGGCAATTTTACTTCAGAATTATTGTTACCTACTAAGAATTATAGTTATTTTACAGTAAACCAATATGAATCCTACTCCTCTCATACGGATTGCAGATATCGCAACTCCTTGAACAGATACACCAACTCGCAACTCTAGGTTTGACGCGGAGGAGTTAATGAGTTGCCGGGGCTCCGGCTCGAAGTGCAGGAGTAGGAACGGGGTGGTTTTTAGTCAGTAAGAGTCTGATAATCCCTCTCGCCTCACCCAGGCGGGAGAAGGCAATCGATGATTTCCCCCCTTAAAAAAAACTAGGTTTAATCCGAGTGTACCTAATAGATATGTACATTCTTTAATTATAATTGATTAATATCAAACTATTGATAGATAAATCAAATAAATTACTTAAAAAAGTTATTGAACAGAATAAAAACAAATCAGAACTAGGTAGGTACTTATGTATGTATCAATAGGTTTCCAACCATAACCACTACTAAATACATAAATTAACTCGTCGAGTACCGGTTTTATAGACACAATTAAAGAACAATAGGTCGCGGTCACCGGTGACCGCTTGGTGTTTGACAGTTTAAAATGGTATATCGTCTACAATACTAAGGCATTTAGGCTAATGCTTTGTTCACACTATGCTAGTATTTTAATCGTGCAGCGAGTGCTTAGTAGATAAATCGCTCTCGCTTATGTCCCAAAATCGAAGCCAGACAGAGTTACTAAATACTCGATACATGACTAAAATACTAGCACAGGGTGAACAAAGCATTAGCCTAGCGAACAAAGCATAAAATTGAATAAGAAATGTTTGTCAACAAACCAAGAAGACTGCAAAAATGGCTCCAAAAAAATTAGAAGAATAGCTCCTCTGTAGGTACTACTCTGTCCGTTTGCTATTAGGTACCTACTGATTGTGTCAACGCTGATTGCACCCGTGTCGGAATGAGGCATACAATAGCTTTATAAAAAAACCTCGGTAGAGTCGATCGATCTTGGATTAGATGGTACAAAGTAGCAAGCCGCAAGCGTGCTTACTGCAGGTATATAGATACAACACATACCTCATCATCAACAGCCTATAAATGCCCACTGCTGGGCAAAGCCTCTTCTCACACGGAGAAGGTTAGAGCATTAATCACCAAGCTTGCTCAATGCGGGTTGGTGATTTCAAACTTATGATTAGAAATTATAAGCCCAGGTTTCCTCACGATGTTTTCCTTCACCGTTTGTTAGTGGTGTCTAAATAATCTTAGAAAGTACATATAACTCGGAAAAAGTTACATTGGTACTTGCCGATGGTAGGTTTCGAACCCGCACCCTCATGCATGAGAAGCGGGCGTCTTAAACCTCCGGGCCACCACGACATATACCTACCTGCATGTTTTAGGAAGGTTCCTATGTAAAAAGTTCTGCTGAAGCTCTCTGTAGATTCTGTGTGCTACGGTCATGTGAAGTCAGTCAGTCAGTTAAAATTAATTTGCTGTTTTGTTTTGCAAGTTCTTCTAATCTACAACTACTGCAGATTAATTCACATAGGCTGTACGTATACTACCTGTATATTTTAAGGTGAGGGTTCCAAGGTAGCCCGCGGAATTTAATTTTCCCTCTTGGCCCTCTAAATATTAACCCTTTACCCCAAATTGATCGAATCTGGAACCGAAAAAACAGTAGCTGCTGCTTCTTAATAATAATGCGAATTGCTCGTTTGATTTTTTTTCACGTCGCGTCGCAACTTGCAACTGAGGCTTGTGGCCGGAGATAAAACAGGAAAATGATTTAGGTATCTACATATTTAGATTAAGGTAGGAGTTGACGCTACCATAAAAAATAAATTAGTAATAAATAGAAAAATAAGTAGATATGTATGAACTTGTAATTTTTATTAGCATGAGGTCTTGGGTTCGATTCCCGGTTCGGAAGATAAAATAGGTACATATTTTTAGTTATAGCTAAAAATTGTGCTTGATAACCGGCAATACACTGAACTGATTTGTATAGTAACATACAAAAATAATATAAGTACCTACTGCTGCGCGCTGCGATGCTGTGAAATCTCGAAACCACCGTTTGAGTTCGATACCTGCACTAATAATTTGTACATTTTGGTGTAGGTACCTAAATAAGTTACATTTATCTTTATAAATACCTACACCAACAAAATAATAGACTGTACTAAAAATGTTTCTAAACAAAAGACAATTTGAGAATACGTAATCTGAGGTAAGACTTATAGCCAGAAACAAAGACAACTGATACCAGATACTAATCGTGCTGTGCTGTCGCTCATGAAAGCAGAAAAAATCACACAATGGGAATATTGAATGGGTAAGAAAAGGGGAAATTACTATGGAATCAGGAAATAATAGCAGTCAGTTTGGTAATAAACATGTGGGATCATACGGTGGCCAGCAGGTCTTAGGTTGATCTTCTGTGAAATTTCTCTATTACACCTTCAACTTTATTGCATTGACATAAAGTCGAAAATCCAATGAATAAATTTGACAGATTGGAGTAGAATGTAGATAGATCTGATGGCCACTGCTCATTCATGCAATTTTTTGTTGTTGTCTTATTTTGTCGAAATAGAAATAAAAAGATGACGGTGGCCAATTAGCAGTGAGGGCCGGCTACAAACGCCTTTAGGACGATTACATTGCGCCATGAACATTTTAAATTAATTACCTAACGTAATGTAAAATGAGATAATTGTTTTTATAATTTTTATTAATCTATTAAACGAATCGTTTGATGAGTAGGTAGACCTATCTATAAAATGGAACAAAGTAAATAATAATCACGTTCTCTATTATATTCACGAGTTCTTTCTTTAAACCTCCTTAAGTAAGTAGGTAGGTACAGCTGACAGAAAACTGTTGCAGACCATTTGCAGACAGATCCTCCGTTAATACTGCCAAACACCGATGGCAACTAAAGTGTAATGTGATAATAGAGTATTGCCAAATACAGGTACCTACATGGGTACATATGGATAATCATACTCCGTAGAAACTTGAAATGTTGTGCTTTCAACGGTCGCGGTTGTCACCACTTAACTAACAAGTTCATCTACAATGTATGAATATTATAATTATATACAATACTAATCAATTGATCGCATCGTTCAATTCCTATGAACAAGACGATGTTGTTAATTTAGTTGTTCGTCTATTGTCTATTATTTTACTCTCAGAGTGTTAACTTAACTCTTAAGTACTGTTTCCCAGTTAAATACATATTATGTTAGATAATATTAGGTACCTCTTTATATAAAAGAATACGTTTCTGTTAAGATACAATATAATATATCGTATGCTGCCGTTCAACATAATGTGCCTGCCTACATTATAGTGAGATCAAAGTAATTGGTCTTGTTTACCCTACGTTAATAAAGTTGTCTGTTGTCGTTGTATTGTCGATGTACCTAATTAGGCTAAAATGTGCCATTTTATTGTTACAGTACGGACGAAGATGCACGTCAAGCCATGATGTTAGACGGTGGTAAGATCAAAGAGATCCAAGTGAAGTTGTTACTCAGTTCTCGTTCAGAGATGCACAAAGTGATCGAGGCAGCTCGGCAGAGCGTGCCACTGCTCAGCCTGGCAGCCCCGGCAGCTTCACCAGCGCCCACACCTGCGCCCGTGCCTACACCCACGCCACCCACTATACCACCCGTCCAACAACCTCTCACTATCCCCGGTCTAACACCGTTTTCCACAGCCCTCGGTAACAATCCAATTACAGGATTTGGTATCCCAGGAATCGGCAACCCTCAAGAAATTCCGCAACCCGCTGTCATTGAGCCACCGCCACCACTCATCAGCCCTACTTCTAATAACACTCCCAATGACGAAGACAAAGATGAAGACAAGTTAGAAAGAAAGCGCAGCAGGGAAAAGGATAGGAGACGTTCTAGGTCTCGCTCCAAGTCACGCGATAGAGATAGGAAAGAACGTAAGCGTGACCGCCGCGATAGGTCTCGGTCTAGGGAAAGACGACGCCGTGATCGGAGTCGCAGTCGAGACCGACGCGATCGCAAACGTGACAGGAAAGACCGTAGCCGCTCCCGTGACCGGTCACCATCACGCCGCTCCCGCGACAAAAGAAGTGAACGCAGGTCTCATGAAAACTCTCAAGAAAAAACAGATGCACAAGATGGGCCCCTTGGGGGACTCGGGTTACCCTTTGGAAATGGTAAAAATCCAAATGTACCAATTCCTTCACATCATATGATGGCAAATAATATGATGCAAAACAACTCCTTAAATCGAGATTCGCCAATGACCCGATTCAATGATCCCTCAATGAACGATGCCTTTAACAAACTGCAAGAACTCGGTAAAAAGAGGAATCCAAATGCTTTTCAAGGTGAACAGAACGGGGGTAACAGAATGCCAAGCCCTTCAGTACGCGGCGGCATGGGGCGTGGCGGCAGTGTTAGTTTCCGTCGTGATGGACGTCCAAGTCGTTTCGGAGATACCGAGCAGCAGCGTGATTGCTGCGTCGCTATTAGAAATGCACCTAACCATACTAGTTACGGCGACGTCCGCCGTTTCTTCCCCTTTTTAATCGACAAACATGGAATCAAAATGATAAACGACAACATGGGACGTCGAACTGGAACTATCTTTGTCAGGTTCTGTGATACTCGCTCAAAGCAGCTCGCGTTACAAAATAAAATGAATGAATTAAAGGGAGCTTCAGTAATTGTCGAGTCACTCGACGACAACGCTTACGAAACTGCAGTAGATTCGTTCCTACCTTACCGTGAAGACAATGATGAAGAAGAACAACCTATGACAATTACACAGCCAGAAGAACCTCGCAAGCACTTCAAAGTACTTAAATTAACAGATCTACCAAATTTTGTAAAAGAACACGATATAATTAAAGCGTTCAGTGAGTTTTCACTACTTTCTATAATGGTGACCGACTGTCGCATGACCAGAACCAAAACGGCATATGTCCAATTTGTAAAACCCGAAGATGCAAAACAAGCATTAGACAGAAAAGAAAGATACATATTTGGTAGAAGACAGCCAACAATTATTCCTATCTCAGAAGAACAGTATGAAAAAGAGAAACAGATGACTGACAAACCACCAGAGATGCCCAAAAAACCGCAGAATGAACCTCCAGCAGAAGTGGCTCCACCTCGAGACCCGCGTCAGAGACGGCAACAATTTGATAATGGACCCGGAGGGCCTGGGGGACCTGGCGGGCCAGGGGGCCCTGGGGGACCTGGGGGTCCTGGTGGTCTTGGAGGGGCCGGCGGACTTGGAGGTCCTGGAGGGCCTGGCGGACACAAAGGAGGACCAATGCAATCTCAACCATCGGGACCTCATTTCTTTACACCTCCGTTTGCGCAGCAACAAGGATTTCCAGGACAATTTCCTGGACCTGGACCACAATTCGGAGGATTTCCAGGTCCCGGCCCTATGGATCCTAGGACGACTGCACCAAACTGGGGTAACCGTCCACCCTTTCCCAATCAGATGGATCAAGCCTCAAAAGCCCCCCTTATTAATAATCTTCCCGACATGGATGACGAACCTCTTGACTGCGTTTTGATGAAAGGTCTACCTAGAGAAGCAACCGACAGAACCATTGTCAATTTCCTGGCAGACACGAACGCAGTACCAGCTCGGATACACTTAATGCTGGATGCTAACGGAATGCCATCCGGAGATTGCTTCTGTGAGTTTAGGTCGACACAAGAAGCGAGAATGGCTACTAGTAAACACGGGAAAAATCTTGATGGATGTCGTGTGACTATAGACTTGGTTCCTCGCAGTGTAGTTGAAGAAGCTTTGGAAGGACCTAAGCAGCCGGATATGCGCGACGGAATGCTCGGTAATGTTTCCCAACAGCAGCCACCATTCTTCGATCCCATGCAAGGAGGTCGCGGAGCGTTTCGCGGTGGATTCAGAGGTCGTGGGGGCTTCGACAGAGGGGGCTTTGACCGAGGTGGTTTCAACAACCGAGGCGGTTTTGACTCGAATCGGGGTGGCTTTGACTCGAATCGGGGTGGCTTTGACTCCAATCGGGGTGGGTTTGACTCGAGTCGGGGCGGCTTTGATGCAAGTCGGGGCGGTTTTAGAGGGCGTGGAGGTTTCAATGAGCGAGGTCGCGGCTTCGATAGAGGACGAGGTCGCGGCAGGGGCTTCGGGGGTCGTGGTGGGGTTGCCGGTGTCAACGGAGGTTTTGATAATAATGGTCGCATGGACGAAGACCACGATCCTGCACTCGATGATTTCGGTGCTCCTGGCTGTGTAGTGTCCATGGAGAATGTGCCGTTCCGCGCTAGTATAGACGACATCATGGACTTCTTCTCTGACTTTGAGTTGACTCAAGATGATGTTATCAGGCGATACAATGAACGCGGCCAGCCTACCGGCGACGCTCGTGTTGCATTCCGTACTCCGTTCGACGCGCAGCGCGCCGTGAAAACCCGTCACATGGACATGATCCACGACAGACGAATAAGTTTATGTATTCTATAGTACCACGCTTGGAGTCCGATAGACTCCGATTCAGATGTGGACTAATTTTGACTTGTGTAAATAAGTATCCTAAAACTCAATACGAGTAAAACAAGTGTGAGAACACTATACCCACCGAATGGGTAAATAGCACTTAAAGTTTATTGCAATAAAGTATTTGCAAAAGTGATTGCGTTGCTATAGCCACGCAGAGGACATTAATTTGTATTCTCTAGAGGTAAATAGATTTAATAAAAAATAGTTTCATAATTAAATTCGGAGTTTTATTTATCAAACGCAACATATTACTGAAGTATACAATAATATCATGATTTGTGGTACAAAAGAGAGCATTACAGAACAACAGTGTGTCCAGGAGAGGCAATAAAACACAAAATAATTCCATCAAATTAATATTTAATTATAGCTCTTGTTTAGGTACATAGTCTTATTTTAGTATCCATTTGACTAGAACTTTGTTATACAAACTAAAGTTCGACATAGCATAGCTCCACCTGGACACGAATACATTCTCTACAGCACATATACACGGTACGAGTATACGACATATACATGCAATATTAGTAGGTACCAAGTCTCCTAATTCGGACAAATCGGTAATTCTGAGGGTTAATATCAAACGAAATAAATATTGAGCTTCAACAAACAAAGTCATTGGTTAGATCAATATACATTACACTAATCATAGTTACAAAATATTAATGAAACAACAAGTTACATGACAATATTAATCAGAAAACGAGACATTGCAATAATTTTCATTTACCTACATACGATAACAAGACAAAACCTATCTAAGTAGAAAAGCGCATGCATTATAAATTAGGACAACTTTTGAACGTACTCGTACGATACAATACATAGAAATCCAGTAAATACTTGAACAAGAACATTATTGACAATTTGTTATCAAAACATGGCCAAAACTTTAATTGAAACCTTTTTCTTTTTACGACATGTGCAATAAAAGCTGATTAAATAAACATCAAAAAAATACAACTTAAATATATTAAAACCTCACAAAATAGATATAATGCATATATAATATTATATAGAATGTAGTAAGTAGATTAATAATAAAACCTTGAAGAAATGCGCCCAAAGAAGAGATCAAACTATTAATTTTATGGAACACAAAAATTATTACACAATCGTTAAAATTCAAACAGAACATTTTTCATTAAAGAAATAACCCTTCTCATGGCTTCGCCGTAGTCGGGTAAAACCAGAATAAACCGTACTAGAATTTGTACGCAAGAAAATTCTTCATGAAGTTTGATCTAGGGCCTATTTCACCACTATCGATTAAGTGTCATTTAGCTTACACCACTGAAAACTTAACCAAAAACAATGAAACAGAGCCTTAGGACATACAAAACTCAACTAAAATCATTGCTTATTTATTCAAATAGCCTATTATAGCAGATAAACAGAAATATTCAACAGTATGAATAAGATAACAACTAAAACAATATATTGTGATGAACTAAAACTTAATACGTGGGTACAATACACGTAGAAATTCATAAAAAATCTTTGCAGATAAAATGTATGGAGTTATCAACAAAATTGTGTATTGGGAGTTACAAAGACACACTTCACAGCGCTAATTATAAGGCACATGTCCTGTGACAATTTGTTATCAAAATATTTAGCATTAACTAAAAATAGCGGGTTACTCACGTGAATATGCTGAGAAAAGCTCTACTAGTTTCTAACCACTGAGGGGTTCTTCCTCATGAGCTGCGTAAGTAACCCGCGATTTTTAGTTAATATGGTATGTCTCACGATAGTTATTATAAAAGCATATTTAAGCATTGTTTTAGCAAGTTATCTATTTAGGGCACAATTCACTGGTTTCATTATTATAAATAGATAGTGGCCAAATGCCGCTCTCAAGTACAAACAATCAAATTCGATCAAGACTATTTTATAGAAGAAGAATGTACGACACATGTTATGACGTCATCTCTATTAAAGAAAATACTGCCCACAAACAGACAACTTGCTTCTACAAGATACACAATTTTGCTAACAACATTGGATTAAGGTGCAAATCTTAACATAACGTAACTAGCATAGAAATAGTAACAATAAGTTAGACGTTGTCCATATTTGGATGGAACGAGCTATACCGCTCGCATTAAGTTAGCTAGTTGTTAGATTATATTTATATTGGTTACCACTGTCCTTATATTTTGCAAGTACTATAGAGCTTAGCTTCACTGACAGGCAGACTGAAGGGACGTTTCATAAGAGTCTGTATGTGAGTTAAAACAAATGCTTTGACTTTAAATAAAAAAGGTCCACATCTGTCTAACCAGACTGCCTAAGGCCTGAATATGTGATCACTATGGCCTGGCTCAGAAGCTTTACATGGACATAACTCTTCATGTTATGAAATTGGAAGGTGTTTTCAAACAGGGAAGGTAGCCATTTTATATGTTAACGGCATATGGAAGTAGGTATGTGTAAATCGGGTAAAGGGGGAAGTTACTTATCTTGATGCTATGGGAAGCTCGCTTTGTTCTAGATTATTTTGTTATTCAATCAACTACAATGGATGTATTGTAACAAACACTAAGAATAGATCAACTATCCTTTATTTCAAGCAGACAGTGGTTGAGTTAGTACGCACATAAATACTTAAACAACTATTAAATACTATTACAATATTCTGTTCTATTACTTAGTAAGGAATTGCATGGAAGATGAAACCGTAAGACCAAACGTTTATAACGTCAACAAAGGTATAATAAAATACTATTTCAATGTTTCCCTCAAAAAGATCATCCATCAATTCCAAGTAGTGGAATTATTCGTATTAATTTATAATATAAATTCATAAATAGACATACAAAATATATTATTTGTAGTGCTAAGAAAGTTCACATTTCAAACGACACGACGTAACATAACGTTTATCCTAAATTCTAATAAATACATAGACAATATACGGTAAGAGTAACAGTAAAGAGTTCCAAAACTGCCGTAGTGAAAATATATATTTTAGGGCTGGCAATACCACGCCGTAACTTTAAAAAAATAGTAGTTCGAAAATCGAAGTAACCGTTATATTCTTTTTAATTTTAATCAGTCGAAAACAAAAAATATTTGTTGTATATTGTTTAAATATTAGGTACAAACGGAATGCAGTTATTAACATCAGAATTAAAAATATATGGGAAAGAACGGTATTTAAGTTTTTTATAGAAAAATAAACAATTTTGTTACCTAACTGCGTGTGTAAAATACACTACGATAGTTTATCGTACATAGGTCTTATTTTTTACCGACAAAACAGTGAATATTTTGCAAATATCTTAGTTCGAAAATACGCAGTCAGATCGGTGTTGTATCTGAGAAAATCTAGTCCAACTACGTGGTCCCTGTTATAAGTCGTGGGCCGATTAGGTCTCCAATTAATTTTATTAAACTATAACATATAATTAATAAAATATTAGATTGAAACTGCCCGATAGCTGCTAACGAGCGTTGAAAATGGAAAATTTAGAGTATAATTTTATTATTTTTCTCGTACTTCGGCCCACAAAATGTTCTTGAACTACAAACAGCTACGATTTGGCTTTACCAAACGAACGGAATTCCTATGTTTGGTCCGTCTCACTGTTCAACTTACACCTACACATTGAGCTTACGCTAAATATTTATAAACATTCAATATAGACTGTTCACTAACTACGTCACAAAACACAAATTTCGGAATTTTTTCAAAATTCAACCTTAGAAAAGTAGTGGTAAGGATCATTTTACGTTGTCTTGTGACTTAATTGGTGTTGGTCATTTATGAGGAGTGCATTCGACCGCTAGATGGAGCTAGTAGCCACTGACTTACGGCAGTAACTTTGACTTTCAATTCTTTTTAATGTGTAATATTCAAATACATAGGTATAAAATAAATGTTTTGTGCTCAATTAAATTAATTCTATTTTTGGTAATATCTTTGAGACGTCAGTCATGCCCACTAGCGCCATTGTAGCGGTAGTTTCTACAACTAATGCCTCCATATTGTTCTAAGTGCTACAAGCCTTGAGGCCTCACTATCCGTTATATCCCATAATCTCAATAGCTCCATTATATTTCAATCGTTAAATATGAATGTAGATCTGCCAAGTATATTTTTTTATTTTTCATATGTAACGATTAAAACAGATACAAAATATAAGAAATAAATACTTGTATTGGTAATCGCTATCTATGTTAACAACTGTGTGAGGCTTGTATGGAGTAACTGGTTTCATTTTTGGAATATTGTATATAGAAATCTGTGAAATAAAAACTATCAGGTTTGACTTTCCAGCCTGTTAGAGATTACGCCCGTATACTGAAAGGCTACTCAATTTTAAGTTAAATATCGTGCCATCTCTGTCAGTTTACAAAGAAATTGTAGGGACAGAACTATACTTAAGTGGGACCTAAAATTAAATAACGTTTGAGCATTTGCACAATAAACAAGTAACTGATACATTTATCTTCATATAAAATCATATTTTTATTCAAACCATGGACCAAATAGTATATCAATCCAGAATTTGAACCGACATAACTAATAAACGTTCTTTAGACCAAAAACCAGTTATCTCCATACATATTCGACCATACCTACCTAAGTAACATTGCAGCCAATAATAATATCATATGGTTTCCTTATTTATATAACTAAAATAATTTGTTCTTTAACATTTATGGGACCCTCGCACAAAGGTTACAAGAATAAGATTGACTATCTAAACTGGCCATAAAATCAATGTATACTTTCTCTGCTAGAGACAAGGTTTATTATTGTTTGAAGACTTAAAATAGACAAGGTATTCACTTAAGACATTTTCATTAACATTTATACATTAACAGTAAATCTCAATAACTGTAGATTTAGAAACAAGAGATACAATTTTCAAGTAAATCCAACAAAAACGAGTCAAAATATATACTATCTCCAATATGAAAAAAAGTACAGCAAAAATAGTCAATCAAACACTCGATTCGATAAAAAAACACAGATAACGATTACCAAACATCCCGAGCCTGGCCTGCCCACCCAATTACAGAAAGCCTCAACATATCCAAAGCTAACTCACAAAATACAATAATTATATTACATAACTATACGCTACATATTGAACTGAACTAAAGTCCGTACACCATTGCGACTGTTTAAGTTCTAAATTAATACAGATTATACCATCAAATGTAATGTACTAGGTAATAGGGAAGATTCGATTTGTGACAGGTCGATTTTTACGATTGGTAGATGGCGCTGTAGATGTTTAAGATCCTGTCAGACCAAATTATCCTGTATTTATGTGTATGTGTTAATTTTTATTGAGATATCAGTATCAATTGATGATTATTAGTTCATTTACTTGATACATAACAATACAAGACTATTTTATAGCTTTTTCTCTATAAAATAGCAACTGAATTTCCAAATCAAAATATTAGATCAATCCTCCCCATTACCACTTACAGAGACCAGATACAAAACGTAATTTAATTATGACACTTACGCCAAAAGCGACGGTGGCGCCGCTATTCGCAGCTAACTTCAGTATGAAATCGCAATGTATGGTGTGAAGTACGGAGCGAGTTGATCCTGTACAATAGTTGTGTGGTACACAGTACTGTGTTATTGTCGCTAGACTCTGGTGTTGTTCTGCCGTGTATTACTCTACGTGTCCCTGGAAATTTAAAGTTTGCTGTTAGATATACATATAAAACTTTATAGTAATTTTATTTAAAATATCTCGTAATTGTTCGATTATGAAAAATCCACAACATTTGTTTATACTAAAGTAGCCTCTAAACATCGGAAATAAGGTCTATAATGGTGTAAGTGGAGAGCGGTCACCGGTAACTGCTTGAATCTTAACCAGATATTGACATTTAGGTAGTTTCTATTACTTTTAATTATCCATATAAACGACGGCGACGTCAGTCTGCTATAATCAGTATAATCTCATACTGGATTTTACCTATAACCCTGTACTAAATTAGATTATTTATTTATGACGCAAATAAGACAATGGATCGTCTGACGAGCCGCCCGAGGACATCCGCAACATTAGAAGACTTATTAAGGGTTTTTTTTAAGGGGGGAAAATCATCGAATATCTGCTCCCGCCTGGGTGAGGCGGAAGGGCTTATTAAGGGGTAGGGCGACAAGTTCTCCAGTCAATTTTCTTTAAGGTATGGTATCAGTTCAGTAAAGTCGGCCCATTTTTGCTAAAGTATGGCTATCCACGTGAAAACTAATAATGTATGGTGTACTTACTTTCTACTCTTCGACCGAGTGGGCGAGCTGTTGTTTGAGGTGTGTGGACTGTCGCTCAGGTCGGAGCTCGAGCTTCGGATGTCGCCGTCCATCTGTAAGTTGATTACACAATATTAAGGATGAGCTTCATACCACTAAGGAGGCAAACAAGCTGTCAAGCTGTATAACCAGGTCTATGAGTAGAGAAAAATCTATTTTTGAGATACTATCCTAAAGTACCTACATATAAGTTACATAAGGCTTTATAATTTGATTAACTTCTGCCAACGGCTTCGCCCAAGTTCCCGTGTCTACTCCTGTTCCAAATCCCCTTCGGCCGTGAAGTGAACAAATAAACTAACATACAACCTTTCGTATTTATAATTAGTAGGATTCGATATTTATTGTTTCCCACAATCATACACGAAAGCAAAACTCTTACCAGTAGTAGCCTAATTTAAGACTTATGTATATTACGACAAAACATAAATAAAACATAACAACACGCCTTTTTATCCCCGAAGGGATAGGCAGAGGTGCACATTACGGCGCTTAATCCCATTGTACAATGTAACACCCACTTTTCACTATTTAAGTCCCATGTAACAGGGGGTGAACCTATTGCCATATACCGGGCACAATTCCAGACTCCGTGCTACTACTGAGATTTCTTTTTAACCCAGTAAAACCTTGCCCGACCCGGGAAACCGAGACCCAAAGACATGCGACAAGAAAATAATTTAATAATACCTGTCCGATCTTAATAGCGACGTATGCGATCTGCAGTATGAGCCAGGTCCACACTATGTGCAGCACCAGGAGCAGACACAGCAGCGAGTTGAAGATGTAGTAGGCGGGGAACATCGGGAGCAACATGGGCGCGCGGATTGATGTACTGGAAATAACACAATTATAATCATTATTTCACTATTTATGTTATGGAAAATAGACCTATAAAGCATTAGCGCAGTGTTCAAATTAACTAAACAGTTTCAAGGAATTCGAGATTTACACATCCCCAACCCGACTAAGATTTTTGTAACTGTGAAAAGTATCTTTCTCGAAACTTTTAAGCATAAGTAAAATGGGTTAAGGAACTACACCCCAGTGTTTTGGAAAACATACAACTTTGATTCATGCTAAAACCAAAACCACGGCTTTTCAATCCATCAATTCCAAAATGTAGTTGTAGAAATCTCACCTCCAAATGAGGTAGAAGGGGTAGATGCCGACACGCGTACCAATCCATACTACAATCAGCATCAGGAATAACGCGTCACACAGCTTCTGGTACTTCGCGTACTTGGACGCCTTCACCGACTGAAATATTACAATTACAATATTAAAAATTATAACATAGACATAAGCAGTTCCTAGCAAAAGGCACATTCAGGGATTCCCAATAAAACCACAAGCTTAACACGTGGTTTGAAGATCGCAGTTCGGTCAAAGAAAACGTAGAGTAAATTCGAAACCATCTGGCCCAGTATAAACCTGGTTAAATAGTGATGAACAGATCATAGATCAGACATTTACCTGAGTTTTAAGATCTCAACTTACTTCAACAAATATGTCAGCACAGTCGTGCAGTAAGAGCACAAGTGTCCCGATCCTGTGCAGGTTGCAGACCCAGCTGAAGGACAGCAGTAGGATGGTGGCGATGTGGTGAACGAACATCTGCCAGAAGTCCTTGCGACGCACGTCCCAGAACTGAGAGAATGTCAGCGACCAATAGAAGGCTGCCGATATCATGTAATACCACCAGATGTCGTTCGTGAGGCCCTGGAATTATGAACGAGAACATTAGAAAAAATTAAGATAACATTTTAGACATATCAAGCAGAAAACTAGATGCCACGCCGAACGACGACTCGTAACTTGCATCCAACGATTGCCCAGGACTCTGACGAAAGCCCTACCCACGGTATGTTTTCAGGAAAACATATATATAGAGAAGAAGAAGAGACATAACACAAAACAATACATTATGTAAGAAATATATTGTGTAAAACTGTCTCAAGTTTGTGGTAAAAAGTACCGGTTCAGTAAATTAATGCAAGATGGGGTCTTGTAGAATGTGGCGATGTTATATAGGTTCCTTACGTAACTCGGTGATGCGACCTCCATCCGACGAAGTTATCAGCGTCATATAACATTTTTTTCTTTTTAAATAAATAAAGTTCGTCGACCGAATAATAAATTGATCGTTTTTAACATAATGGCCAAACAATACATTCCTTAAATTAGTATGTTTTGTTGAGTATTTTAGGTATTTTTGCCTTTTGTTTTTATGGTAATATGCTTGTAACAAATTGAAGTATTTGTTAATTATTATGTATTACATGTCTATACCTACATTATCGGGTCTGAACCTTGAAAACTTGTAAGGAATCGAAATAGTAAACTAACACTTAATTTAGTCCTAAGTTAGGTGTAACTTAGGACTAAAGTAGGTAGTGACCTAGGATCTACAAACAAAGCCCAGAAATAGAAACGTGGGCAATAGCTTTAGTCAACAAAATGACACAACATTACATAAGATTATAAAGCACCTGTTCCATAAAACCGTTAAAGAATTTTATTTTTCTACAAGTCTAATCAACAAATAAAATGCAAATGATATGATGCATAGGAAGCGAGATATTTATAAAACGTCTATTTTGGTGACCTTTAACGTTATCTTGGAAGCGAGTCTGGTCGTTGACTTGTTCTAACGTTCAGTATGAGGTGTTAATTATTAAATTCTGGTTTAAAAATTACTTAGACTTAAGCTTAACTTGAACATGTATTATAGGGATGGAATACTATATCTTCTAAGCATCAAGACTAGAAATCCATCGTAGACCGCATCGAATACAAAAAAATAGCAACTATTAAGACATCGTCATCATCAATCCATTTGTGTCCACTGCTGGATTTAAGCCTCGATAACAACACGCCTTTGAGCACGATTTTCAGCTCTTCGCATTAAACCACCCGCCCCGTCGCATGCATAGTAAGAAGATACTGACAGATTCCACTTGTAACAGGACAAGCAGCATATCTTAAGATCTCATATCACATTTTCAACCGACGCCAAAAAAGGAGATTCTCTTGACCTGTACGTATCTATGTAAGTAAGTATGTATGTATGTATGTTTGGGCAAGATTATCTGGCGATTAGCTGAACCGATTTTGATGCTATTTTGTGTTTGTTACACTTAAAAGAAGGTTTTAGTATATTAATCAACCGACTTCGAAAAACGAGGGGGTTCAAGTTGGTTTTATAAACGTAGTTCATAAAAGAATTATTAATACCTAAAGGAGCAAGCAGAGGTGTATATAACCACTTAAATGCCGGGTATATAAGACAATAGAAAATATATTCTGTCTCACGTGGTTCGGCGTTTACGCACACAACGGGTTAAATGCATCACTTGCTTTTTACATAAACATTTTGTTTCTCCAAACTCATTCATCATTCACAAACTAGAATAACTCATTTACAGTCAATCGTAGCTCTCAATTACTTTAAGAGCAACCTTTAAACAATATTGTCTGCAATTAGAGTACAGTTAGCAGCACAATTGGTTTGTTCAACCATGCCATTAGTACAACAATTACATCAATTTACAAAGCGTCAGTGTTCTAACAGGTACTAATTAGTTTTTTACATATTGTGTGAATGAGTGTAGCGTATTTTGGTAGAATATTGTGTGTTTGCTAGTTTTCGTAACAAACTAAAAAGCCTTTGAGTGACATTTGAGACCTTATTGAGAGTGAATAATCTTTATCATGCCACGTTTGAGTGAAGACAAAAACTGATAAGCGATTCATTACTGACTAAACTTCACTTCGGTGTCCCGTCGCACAAGAGAAACTGTGTTTGAAACTGTTGCAGCCCTTGTGTCATATTTATTTTTATGGCATAAGCCGGTAAACGAGCACCACCTGATGGTAAGCAATCGGCGTCGCCCATGGACACCTGGAACACCAGAGGTATTACAAGTGCGTTACCGGCTTTTTGGGGATTAGGAGTTTGAGGACCGATGGAGATTCAGGGATTGGGGAGATTGGGGAAGGGGAAAGTAATTGGGCCTTCGGTAACCTCACTCACATGACGAAACACAACGCAAGCGTTGCTTATTTCGAAAAGCATAGAAAAGACTTACAAAAATTCAGTGATTCTTAAATATGAAGTATAAACAACATGAACACGTGTACCTCTTTCCCTTCAGAGAAAATAAAACAAAAGTTATCAAGTCAAGTAGCAATAAAACCAATATAAATATATCTATTGCGAATCTTATCAACGAATCTCGTTTACTATCGCATATTGTAATCGAGCTGTCTGTTAAACCTCACAGTAAACATAGTCTGAGCGTTGTTTAGCCAATTAAAATTCCGTATAGAGGTCATTATCTTGTATTAGATAGCCTTGTCTGTTTAACGTTCAAAATATTCTTAGTTTTAATCAAGCCGGAGTTTTCTTAAGCTACGAAACAAATTCTGAGCTGATATCAATGCGACACCAATTATTGTGTCACAATAATTTAAATACAATAAAAATTACCGACACTTGTGTTCGTACAGAGACATTCGATCTATACACTGAGTGTATGGTGTCATAGTCTATAGAATACTCAAAATAACTTCGCGCACACTGTTCAAGAGTGCCAAGAGAACCCAAGAACTCAAGAGAACCCCTCTGAGGTTCGAAACTAGTAGAGCTTTTCTTAGTATATTCACGTGAGTAACCCGCGAGTTTTAGTTAATTTAGTATGTCTCACGATAGTTATTATAAAAATACTGAAAATACCTCAAAATAGTGATACCTCAATTTCAGGTTATATATTGTAACATGACGTTTTCAATTGCCCGAAAGCATAATATTTTTTTTTTAATAGCATAATAATATACGGGTTTAAAATGCTAGGAGATTCTACAGACTGTCCGTATTTTGAATATTTCCCATGATGGGAATGTTTCTCAGAGTAACGAGCATGTTACTAAACAATAATGATCCAAAGTTCAGATATTCGCAAGTATTGCGGTAAAAAACACATTTTTTAATTTTATATATGTAATTCTATAAAACTATTAACTATCATTATAATTAAGAGTACTTAAACTATAATTGGAGTTAATTTATGTGAAGCCAAATTAGGGTTCAGATAAAACATCTGCTTGGTTTAATTAAAGTTTATAGAATTAATTGGACCCTTACGGCTATTAATATAAGTGTTACCATGTGTCGTTTGTAAAGAAAATATGGTACATGAGATGACGGCCGAGCTAAGACTCTTTACAACGCGAATACGTGATTATCCCGCTAATATAAACGCTTTAGGAAGCGGCAAAGTATTTTCAAATTTTCTTGAGTCTAGAAAATTTCAAAATCTGGTCCAATCTGGACTTCTACCTAGATTCTAGACGAACATAGACTGACCAGATCGGTGATAAGGGCCTAATTAAAAGAACCCGTAACTAACTAGCATGCATGAAAAGACTGAAGACTTGATGAAGCGAAAGAGATAAAAAACAATCAGCCAAACATAGTACCTCCTCCTTTTTTTGAAGTCGGAAAAAATCGGCGGGCGGTCCATAGTCTCTGCCTACCCAATGGGAGACAGCCGTGAGGTTATATATGTATGGGTCTCGGGGACGAATGCAACGTATAAGCGAGTTCATATTCATTAAAATGTATGTAATCAATGCGTGGTAAAAAAATTACCAAAATAAGTGAACAAAACCAGGTCTAAAATCCAAACTTTCACAGAGACAATTCGATTCTATTTTTTATAATAGGTATTGAAAATGCAAAGGCAAACTAGTAAGTTTTTATGATAAAGCGACCTAGAATTTGTAGTAAAGATAATAAAAAAATGTGTATTAAGGAAGACTATTTGAAAATTATTTGAACCTAATCATTGCATGATTAGGTTCAAATAATTTTTTACGCGACATTTTTTGTGCCTCGTTATTACAGTTACATATATGTGTTTTTTTTTTTTCTCGTCTCTATAATAATTATGACTGTCAAGATAATCAGCGGTGTAGATTAAAAGGTGAGAGTTTAATAACTTAAAATTAAACCCGACAATTAACACAAGCAAAAGTCATGTGCCACACAGGAAAATAAATAAAATTTTCTAGATTTTTTTAACACAATATGTTAGATGACTAATTTTTATTTTTACGTCCGTAGATTATTTAAAAACATTAGGCACGTATTTTCCACCGACTTGTTTTAATTTCTTACGGAAACGAATAGTTTCGAAGATATATTTTAAATACCGCATGACGTCACTTTTTAGTACGATTTACACTCTAAAATGACGTAGCTACGTCCCACTCCTAAACTTTGATTCGTTTTATCTAAGTATTGTTTTCTTATACGACAAAATAAAAAAGACGTGTCTAATATTTCTTCATTACCAAACTGATGGACTAATTAGATTTTTAATTTTCATGTCATCATCCTTATTTGTGTCATAGTTGGACTACTAACTGCTTGGTAACAAGTATTCGAGTGATCCATTAATTGTTCTTCCACGACTAGGTAGGTGTGATACGTATGTATGTGAAAGAGCTCTATCGTATACCTGATCACCGTTTACCATCAGGCGCGATAGTGGTCAAACGTCGTATCATCAAATATAAAAAAGTCTTTCTTAACCGTTTTATATAACCCGGGAGATACTACTAATAATGTTAGTAGAAAACTGTTTTCTACATGTCTTACCTGATGAGGATATCCGATATAACACTGGTCGATATCCCACAGCCATTCCTTGTCCCACAGCGTATACAACCCGAAAGTGAAGTTACAAGTATAGAAGAGGACTTTCCATGCATTTTCACTGAACTTCACTAGGGTTGAAGGCTTGTCCTGACCGCGACGGAGGCGCCACCAACGTTGCAACTCTCGTTCAGAAATATCGAGTTTCTTGGCTAAGCTCTCCGGCTGAAAAGAATAAGATATTAGTTAGTATTGCTTTTAGAGATGGAGAGAAAACTTGTGCTAGTTAGGACGTATTTGAAAAATTATTTCGCCATAGGCTTCTTTACTTTTTAAACATCCTTTTGCATTGGATATTTTATATTCTGATTCACCTAAAGCAAAGGAACCTACTCGAGAAAAATCTTAATCGCATGTAGGCTAAGGCGCTACGAACAGAACTATTTTGTTAATACACTTGAAAACACGATACTTTTTTCATGACAATTATTTTGAAAATTATAATCTAGCTACGCCTTACGTAAACAAACAATACTTTTAAAAGAAAGATAAACAAATTAACAATAAACGTAATTAATCAAGTTAATACTAAATTCATTCATGGTGCATTAGTTATCATTAAATCTTAAGATAAGCCCATAAAGATAAAAATATATTTTCTAAACAAAACCAAAACCTGATCCCACTCAAATGGTAGAAATTAAAACATAAAGAATAAATATAAACGAGAACGATTGCTATTGGAAAATGAACAAAAATCAATGAAGTTGCGTTACATTTTCTTCTAAGTATTACGAATGATATCAGGACTGGCAGAGTGGGTAGTAATTTAGTAAATCCACGTGGGTATATGTAGGCGGTAATATCTCCGAACCAACGTTTCTACACGCTTGTTTAATTTTAATAAATATAGTACGAGGGCATTTGATCCACGTAAAAATTGATAGCTGATAACTGTATAGCAGGCTTAGCAGAGTCGATGGCAATAAAATGTATAGATAAGAGTGAGCCGTTCTCCCATGCAAAGATAAATTGTGTAATTTTAATACTTCTAACTCAACGAAAACACGCCGAATAAGGTTAAATTATTATTAATTAAATTGTCTCTGTTGTTTGACGTTTCTACCATGGATCGCGGTTTGTCTAGCTATTGCCACACAGAAGTTTATTTTTCAGAGTCTTATTCAATTGCTGTGTATTGATCTTGATATTCTTAAAGTCAAGGGTACAGTAAGGGACAAATGTCCTGCGACACGTGACGTCATCAACGTTGGGTGAAGTAGCGCGACGTTGTCGGACTTTGGTCGATATGTCTGGCAACATCAATGTCGCTGTGGACATAAGTTGCGCGTTGTCACCGTATATGTCAGGCGAAATCGGCCGGCTTGTCGGCTCGACATGTAGCCGATACATGTCGTGGTACATTTGTTCCCTAGTGTATCATTGGCTTAAAGGATATTATACGGTCCCCGCTTGAATACGGGGTCCTGATTTGCCCAGTGCAAACAATCTTGCAGTGCAACAATCTTGCCCCTTACTAAGTGAGACTAATAACATAAGTGGTGACTATTGTCTTGTGTACCGTCTTTTGATACATATTCAATTACGTTGTACAAGAAAACTGAAGTGTATTTATGTATCAAATTTTCGCCAGGTTATTAATTCATACTAAATTAATTTCAAACCCCATGCTTCCTACGAATATACAAGAACCGATGTGGCGTTACCTATATCAGACCCGACACAATCAACCTAGACCAAAGTCGTCATCAAAGTCAACGAAATACAATTTTAATATACGAAAATTACCTTTAAGTGGAAAATAATTTGATTTTCATAGGTACATAGTTTTGTCCTCAAGTTACTTTTAACCTTGTATTGAATCGATATTCGTAAGTGAAGACAAACAGTGAAATATTATTGACCTTAGTGTGACCGCAATAATTTTCTTCATACAATTTTCATAATTCTGTATTCATGCTATAATTGTGGTATTTTACGAGCAATTTTTTGTTTATATTGATAGTTATCATTGACGTACTTTTTGATATACAACGTAAGATTGTGGGTAATGATAATAATAGCTTAAAGTACTTTTTTTGATCTCTTTTGACGAGTTGTTGTTTATCAAAATTACTTACGATTTTAATAAATATTAACGTGGTATAATAACACTATGTTGAGGTTTATAGCACATTCATTTTTTAATGTCCGACCACCATTGAAACAACAAAGCAATCAGTTTTTTTAGTATTGCATTGTTAGATATTTTTCCAAGTGTGATTACAACGGCACCCATTGCCTACTTAGCACGTGCATTTAATTAAAAAATATTAGAAGTATCTATGTGTCGGTTTTATACTTTCAAAAATGATTAAGAAGCAAGGCCCATGTGACAAATCGAACACAATACAGAACATTTATCAACATTATTTATTTTAAAAATATGATTCATAAACAAAATTAGATCTACGCCTTCAAAATGCACTGGAGGCACTCGTGATTTGCAAACAGATATGATTATATATACTATATCAGGTATACTATATGCGTAATATTTACCAAAACGTATGTACTTGATAATTTGGTAATAGCCAGTACGATAAACTATCTTATCCTACCATACACGAGTTAGCGAGGACGTGTGGATGTTTGTCACTTAATCATGCAAAAACTATTGGATTTATGAACATAACTCGCCTTTTTGCCTCTCCTCATAGTTATGAGGCAGGCAGAGGAGTCACAACGCAAGTGTTATGTCACGTCATGGCTCTCCCACATTTAAATAAATGAATGTGAAAAAGCTCAAAAACTACTGCATGAATTTTGATATGGGTAGCCAATGTATAGTGCTACTGCCATGTTGTTTAAAAAAGTTGTAGGTACTAAGTATTGATTGCGATTTTGTGTGAAAAATAAAGATATGGAAGCCATGCTGACTCACTATAGTAGCTATTATTGTATAATTTTTACCCTAGTCACGTTGGTGATGCTGCGGGTGGTTTGTGTATTTCAATTTGTGTTGGTAGTGACAGATAATATCCTAAACAATGTAATATAGGGAGGGAAAGTCGTTTATCATGCAATATTTTTTTTGATAAAATAAATTTAGACAATGAAAGTGGTTGATTCTCAAGCAGATTTTGTCACCAAATAAAATGACTTTAACCATTTGAATGCACCGATATGAGACACAATAGAAAATACATTGTCTCGCGTGGAGCCACGTTTAGACACACGACGGGTTAATGGATTTTCTATTGCAACCCGTCTGAAAGAAGCTAAAAACTGGACAAGATTAAATAATGCCTCTTGCAGAGAGCTACAAGGGGGCATATTGAGAAACGACCTTTAACCCGTTTTTCGTCAAAGAATAAATTGAATTAATAATTAAACATCAGCCTGTCATAGCATTAATGTGCATAGATGGGTTTAGTTTTAATAGAGCACCTAAAATTAATATCCAGGTCATGTCTGAAGCCAAGACCAAAGGCCTAAGTTACACGTACGTTTATTGTTTACACACTTGTAGGTAATCATTTTAATGCCAAATTGCAATCAAATGACGAAGCGTCCTTATTTTATGTAATCGTAAGTAAAAACAACTTTAGTCATTCGTTATCTATAGTGAAATGGTGTGACACATGTAATTGATTGATTACAATGATTAGTGTTTATTCATAATACCTAATATTGATAATAATAATTGCCTAATTAAATGCTCCCTTAATAATTTCATGTTCGATTTAATTCCCCAGCAATGACATTATAAGTCGAAAGTTCGTTCGATCCTTATTGGATGATGCTTAACTTGAACAGACGTCCCGTTTTGTATGGGACTGTCCCTTTTTTACTGACTTCAAAAAAAAGGAGGAGGTGCGAAGTTCGGCTAATTGTTTGTTTTTTGTTTGTTCGCGCATTACTCCGCCATTTGTGAACCGATTTCCAAAATTCGTTTGGGCTTGATTAATTTGTATTGATAAGGACTTTACACCTAGGTAGAGTGGGACTATCGTTAAGGGTCTGATGATGAAGAAGTGTATTTGTTAAGGGAACTCCTCGACGGTATACAGTAACTACTTTGCGTTTGGGCTTTATTAATTTGTATCGCTGAGGACTTTACACCTAGATAGAGTAGGGCTATCATTAAGGGTATGATGATGAAGAAGTGTAATTGTTAAGGGAACTTCTCAACGGTATACAGTAACCACCTTCTGTTTGGGCTTGTATAATTTGTATTGATCAGAACTTTGCACCTATGTAGATTATAAGTGACAAAACGGATCTATATAACTTTACACTCAAAATTATAAAATAAAAACTGCGTTTAAAACACCGACTTCAAAAAACCAAAAAGTAATAACAAACAAAAAGCCAAAACGAAAAAGAAAAAAAAAACTATCATTCGTATTGATAGGTTACCTACCCACTGATAGGTTAGAAGTCGGTGCCATAAGCTCATATCATAATGATATAACTTAATGGCCACAAAATTGTAAATTAGGTATCTATTAAGGTTTAAATGAATAATTTTGTATAGAACATCGAAGTAATATTACTCGAATATATAAAAATTTACACAATTACCTAGTAAAAGCATTTAAAATTATAAATGTAACTATATAATTATGTTCGAAACGCATTAAGAATTCGTTAACCAATTATGGCTAACTATCGACCACTGGGACACCACTTGTAATATTTAACGGCTTTGTGGTGTAAGCTCGTTCAACACATCAGATACTTGTGTCAAAGACAGTTTAATCCGTCGTTTAAAATACTAGCTACTGTTTAAGGACCAAAATGAACAATATCTTTTTATTGTTTGTCTGTTTGTATTAAATAGGCTTCGAAACTACTGAACCGATTAGGAAATTTCTTTCGCCAATGGAAAGTTTATCTTTCAAGAAGTAATATATGCTACTTTTGTCGCGATATTCTTATAGGACCGGGAACTACGGCGAGAGACATTTTAAATATTCCGCACGGACGGTAAATTATATACAAAAACACTAAAATTATAAGTATTGTACACAATTTATAGGACATTATCACCAACGGCCGTTCTCAAGTAGTGTATATTTGCCGTAGATATCAAGAGATTACATAGTTTGCCAAGCATTTAGGAACCACTTGATTGTAATGGCATTTATTATTCCATTTAATCATTGCCATGTGGTGAATTCAGTTGAATTTGTTACCATCCCTGCTCTCCCGGGGGGTGTCGTAATAGCCGATTAAGGGATCGTAAGGAACAGCTAGACCAGCTATACTCAAATTGCGGTCCGCCGAGCCTTTTTAATTGGCCTACCTGAAGTTCCTAAACTTCGTTCTTTTTTAAACATTGCGTCTATAAGAAAACGAGTGATTCAGTGGTCGTCGGACAGAAATAGTAATACTTATCTATATATATAAAAGAAAGTCGTGTTAGTTACACTATTTATAACTCAAGAATGGCTAAATCGTTTTGGATGAAAATTGGCAGGGAGGTAGCCTAGAACCAGGAGACAGACATAGGATACTTTTTACCCAATTTTGTTTTTTTTACTTTTTACCGAAAATCAAGAACGGGAACCGGAAATATCGGGATTGCGCGTACGAAGTCGCGGGCAGAAGCTAGTTATTTATAAAGTAAAATACATTGTTAAAGATGATATGTAATAATTTCTCGCTTGCGCCCGGCAAACCATGCGGTTGAGTATGGCACCTTTTAAACTCATATCTCCAACCCACTTTTCTATTGTAGAGATTCTGGATTGGATTTGGACTGGACTGGATTGAAGTGAAGGCTCATAGTGTAACAATGGCCGCTACGAGATGTTTATGACCATATCGTATTACTATAAAAACGAATATGTCGTACTACTTTAGTATACTATATTATAGGCTTGTCCGTGAAACAATTATTTTATCTCTGATTGTATATTTTATTATTCAAGGTTTTAGGAATTGTGTTATCTTAGACATTTTAATTATTATCGAGATATAAAACGGCCTCAGTCATCTTGTCGAGTTCATAAGCTGGTTTAAACTATTTTGAAGTTATTTTTGCAGTTGAAGAATGTGGTTAGTTTAGTTTAATATGTGCATTAATTATTTAATATTAAAATGTGATTAACATAATTACTATGACGCATACGACCTATATTTCCGCACTTCCTATGTATGGAAGCTTTTAATATTATGCTCTAGCTTTTACGTGCAACTTTGCTTGTGTAAATTGCCCTATCCCTATGTCATCCTCAGGGAATTGTATAATTAAATTATTTTATGTTTAAAAGCAAGCTAAACTGGTAAACGGTTTAGCTACATCATTGTAGTATGTACTGAATTTTGTATCCTATGATAGGCCTGACGTTTTTCTTTTAGGAAAAAAGCTCTACTTATAAAATAAAGATTGAAAAAAAGGAACAACAAACATACGCTCAGAAATACAAAATCATGACTTGCTTGTGTATATTATGTTTGTATCATACTATTGAAAATACTTTCAAACGGTTGATGGATGGATCTTCAATATAACCAAAGATAAGATTGATGGATTGTATGAAAATTTACATGAAAGAATCCAACAACCATAAAGGTTCGGATCCAAAGTAAGTTTAGTAGAACATTGAACTTAAAGTATTTAATGTCGAATGTAATTTAGATAGTATTCCTTCCTATTTCACAACATAGTATAAAACAAAGTCGCTGTTCGCCGTCTGTCTGTCCCTATGTATGCCTAGATGTTTAAAACTACGCAACGGATTTTGATGCGGTTTTTTTAAATAGATAGAGTGATGCTTAAGGAAGGTTTATATGTATAATACATGCATATTGCACCCGTGCGAATTTGGGGCGGGTCGCTAGTATAATATAAATGTTAAAGTTCGAATGTACGTTTGTTACTTCATGACGTCACAATATATCTCGTCTATTTAATGTCAGTAATGCGGGCGAAGCCGCTAGCAGAAGCTAGCATAGCCTACAAATTCAATTCTATCTGACATTTAACTTTAAACTCTGAACTCTCTTTAAACTTAAAAGAAAATTGCTATTGAATTTTTGATACAATTCGTTTGCACTGACATTTGAAATACATGGCACAAATCGTTACACTTCACACGTACATATTTCCTTGCAAAAAAATTGTAAGAGTGTATTTAGAGTAAGACACGAATTTTAATTGGCTTCTTTTTTTTAATGGGGGAAAATCATCGAATAACTTCTCCCGCCTGGTTGTGGCGGGAGGGAGTTTCAGACTCTTACTGACTAAAAACCAAGCCGTTCCTTCTCCTGCATGTCAAGCGGAGCCCCGGTAACCCGTTAGGTTCTCCGCGACAGGTATACTTGGTTTAGATAACCCTCAATCGCCGCGCATGCTACTGGTGATTGTAGCCCCGGTCGTGGCTTGAATCTAGTCGGGCACCCTCGAATTGTCAAGCAAGGCAGGTATTTAAATCAATAATATGTTTTCTCGATAGTTATTCTTGTGATACAGTATCTAAAGTTATTGAGATGGATTAGTTATTCAGTATTATCTAATCGAACTAAATTATTCGCAATCTCTCAATATCTCAAAAAGATAGGAAATTAATTACACAATTTCGCCAAACTAATAAGTTTGGCAAAATAATACTTTTTACGTAATATTAAAAAGAAATTGTATATTTACATTAGATCACAGTTCGCTGTATTTAATTTTACGAACAAAAATATAAAACTTACCACAGATTTTAGTTCCAAATAAGAAACTATTTCAAAAACTCTTCTAACTTAGTGAGATGACTATCCTAAACGAATAAAAAAATTGTCGTAATAAACTATCAACGTAGCTACTGTAAAAACGATTGACAAAATATGAGTTACAACAGGGTTTTTCTTATACATATACAGAGGGCAAAAGTTTTACCTTACCAAGGGATATAAAAATAATGGAATATCATTATAGTCGCTAGCGCAGAAATAATAAAGCTAAATGCCAACAGGGTAATAGTGCGCAAATGCTTAGCTACTTAGTAGCCGCATGGACCTCCTTGAGCGTTACTGCCTGGTTGAATAATAGGGTAGATGCCTAATTTTTATTTTAATGTCCGTCTAGTAGATTATTTTAAACCATCAGACACATTTTCTATTTTCTTACAGAAACGAATACTTTTGACAATATATTGATTTGAAATGTGACGTGACGCGTGACGTCACTTCTATGTAAATTTTATACGTATAAATATCGTTTTAGCCCCCACTCCTAAACTTCGATTCATTTTATCTAAGTATTATTTAATTATACGACAAAATAAAAAAATACGTGTCTAATATTTTTTTAACTTACGAACTAATTAAATTTTTAATTCCCTGTCATCATCCCTATCCCTGTCATTATCCCTAAGCTAATATTTTAGATTTCGAGCCCATAATATCATGCAGCTTCATTGCAATAGATTGCATTGATGATAATAAGATGTGATGAACTACTCTAAAACGACAAGATCCCTGTAAAGGCAAGAAGAAAATGATTTAATGTTATATTATTTACCTGTTTTAGTTTAGGTGAGGCCTTGTAGATTTTCTCTAGCTTAGAGTTATCCGGTGCTCGTCGTGGCTTCGTGTTTTTGATACCCAAGTATGTGCCGAATGGAGCAATGATGGTCCTGCAAAAAATTATATTATAAATCTCATGTCACTGTACCTATCCTATGGATTAGGGAACATCATACTGTATGATACATAAGTTGCAAATGAATGACTGCCCTAGTAAACATCGTATAGTCCCGTGTGATACAAGATGAATTGTATTGAAGCTGCTTACTTCTTTTCGGTAAAGAAATCAAAACAAGAAAGCTACGTTATAAACTAAACATAAATAAAAAGTTTATAGTTAAAAAGGTCTTCAACAGATACATTGAAGTACTTTATTACATAACGTACTGTTTACATTTTTAGCAAATGTTATGGTGCGATATCATTACGTATAGCTTTCCGTACCTCACGAAGGCCTAACGTTTCAGATCGATATGGTTTGTTTGTAACCTATATTTGTGTACTATAGCGATACCTAGAATTAGGTATCGCTATAGGTAGTTGGTGAACTTTTATTAAGAACACCACTAGGTCAGAATAGGTAAAGAGTTCTAAAAGAGCCAAGGAAATAAGTTAACTCAGGTGTGTATGCCAATTGACTCCGTAATATTTTTTTACACAAGGCTATCATTACAAGTAATTAGTTTTTTGGTAATTAATCAATTTGCAATCATAAAATTCCTTCTCATACCTCTTTAGTAAGACTGGCATGGGAAAACAGTAAGGTTACAAAGACTAAGAGCTACTCAAAATTGATAAGAGAAATGACGCTACTTTAGGAGTCTGTTATCTCTTATCTTCATTGTTATTTTGGATTCTAGATAAAGCACACGCCATTGTTTGTCGAGGCTGCTGTGCTCTCCGTTTTGACACAGTTACATAAAATCTTCAAATACTATAAAAGAGTCGGAAACCGAGATCGTTTAATTTTTGCTTCTATCTCCGAAACTACCGAGTGAAATTCGATGCGGGTTTCAGCACGATTGCGAAATATTTGTGAAAATAATTAGCGCATAGAAACAAAACAAGGTTAAGGTCATACTTATAAATATATTTACACATAAATAAGGGTCGAAGAGGACATGAAGTCGGTAAAACGATACGAAAGTCTCTATCTTGCTCTTTCGAAGTTTTGATGGATTCAGAATGACTTGTGATAAAACCATAAAAAATAACTTTAGCCCTATGAATGAGGATCACCTGTGAAGTGATCAGCGGTAGGGGAAGATTTGTCTTCCAACAGTTATCTCGGCAACGGCATTAATTAATAAACATTCTTGGAATAACATGTAGTTAGGGGGGTTGTTTACATTTTAATTTTTTTTATTATAAGTTATTATCTATACTGCATTGTACAATGTCAAGTCTTAAGTCCATGAACTAATAACCCTTTCGCCAGGCGATAAGCCGATATTTATGTTTTTAATTTATTATATTCTTTGATAACAAGTACATCTGAGTTACAGGGTCAACTGTTGTACCAATGAAAATCTTGGCTGAAAGTTAATAATTTCGCGTTAAGGAAGGGTACGTTTGTTTAAGAAAGAAAAAGCTTTTATTTTGCAAGTAAGCACACAAAAAAAAAGATTATAAAAAATAAAATTATCAGTACTTACATAATTTAAAATATTAATAATAAACTTATAAGAGTAAAGAAAATAACAAAAAACAACAAAGCATAACAAAATATGTACAATACAATAATAACAGGTTATAAGGTTATATCTTAGATCCGGTACGTCCAAAAAATGCGATTAGCCGACCTGAGATAACCTCTAAAGATGGTGACTTAATTGCGATCACCTTCATTGTGGACCCTACACGCCTGTCAAGCTTGGGAAATATGGCAAATATTCTCTTAAGGAGGGCCCTGTCCAACAATGGACGATGTTTGAATAAATAACTTGAAAAATATTATTTTAGCTTATTTTGGAAAGCACTAAAGGATATTGACGAAATTTCTATAGCGTAATAAGTTTTTATTACAAGTTAGAAAGTTAGAAAATGTTTTGCATCAGAGAACACGTAAAACTATCAGTCACGATTTACTGGGCGAAGTAAAAAGTTCGATATAATCGGACTATAGGGAAACAATAATGTCAGTGTATGAAATAAAATAATGTAGTAGAAGATGTTTAACGGTTAAAGAGCAGTAGAAAGTCTAGCAATAATAAGTACTAAGTAGTTCTATCAGTTTCAAAAGATCCTTCGTTTACGACTGAAAATATAATTCATTTGCGTAAAGTATGTAGGTTAACTACAAACGACAAATACTGAGACCATCTAGGCAGAAATATTTACGGTTATTGTGTATTTTCACGAACGCGTAACTATGTGAAAAAATATTACAATGCGATCTGTTGTACGAACATAAATGGCAAGGTAAGGTCGCCTACATTCTGTGGCCGGAGATTAGCACATTTGAAGGCACGTCAAATGTTCTGCATGAATATCACACGTTGACGTCGTCAGATTTAGGTAGTACATTTTCAACTTTATAGCGAAAAGAATGTTGAGTTTGCGAGTAGGTTGAAGAGCTAACGACTGTGCAAACAATGAAAAGGAAAGTATTCATTTTGCTTTTAATTTTCTCTTGTTCAAGAAGTGTGTTAATATTATTGGTGAAGTTTGTACGAACTTTTGAGGTTTCCTTCCGTGGAATTTACACAATCAATTAATTAGGGAAGTGGGAAGCCATTGCGGATTTCCTGTTCGCTTCGAATCCCTTCGCAAAGTGTTGATACCTCATTGTTTCAATACAGAATGGAAATTCGAACCCTGCGCGGTTTAGTACGAAATACAAAGCAAAAAATCTTACAAGAACTCATTTTCCTAATTGTTCTTTAGACCTTCAGCATAGATAGAACTTTAGGTCCATACCAAATATATACAAAAAAGGCTAGAATAATAGCGTCAGTTCATAAATCACGTAATAATAGTCTTAAGTGTAATTGCAAATACATCTTCATGAATTGTAAATGACACCAACTAGATAGAAGTGTTAACAGGTTCATGAACCAATGACCAAGTCAACTCAATTCGATCTAGCCAATCAATACACGATGCCAGAGCCATAGTCATAATATAGATAACGAAACATCATAACTCAATTGATGTGTATTTAATCTATACTATATCATGATTATGACTCAATGTTTGGGAAATATAATTTAATGTTTAAGTGTAAACTTGACAGTATGACTAATTCATGTTTGCTTTTACGTGTGTAACTGTAACTTAGAAAATAAATCAGGAAGTCACTATTACTATCTAGAAATGTATTTGAGCAACTGTTATATCTGGGACACAAAATGAGATATTGAAACTAAAAAATGTAAGTAGGTATACTGAAACAATTTTGTAGATTACACAGCACATATGTCCACATGGACACCCGATAGGTCTGGATTAGCAGGAATCTGCCGGAAATGCGGTTCTTGAACCTAAGTCCAGCGGCCCAATTACGTTTGTCGTTCAGCCGCATTTAGATGCTCATGTACCTTAGGTAGTCGGGACGTTGTCCGCAAATCTACGTCTGAATCATACATGATACATACTAGAATCAAAGTAAATGACTTGTTTATTAAAACAGTCCCCTTTCGCGTCCATCTGTCTCTATTTCTAAGACGGATTTTTGTACGCTTTTTCACCAATAGGTAATGATACCTGGGATAGGTTTAGAAGCATAAATTACGGTTTCGTCCGCGTGGAGTTAGTTACCTCGAATTAGAATATGCATTTTAGGGAACTGCTGTTATCAAGGCCGTTGGGTGCCTGGTAGTGGCTGTACCTGTACTAAAAAAAAAAAAAAAAAAAAAAAAAAAAATAAAAAAGTTTATTTCAATTACAAAAGGCATTACATAAAATTATTGGAGATCACCTTTTAAGCAATGGATTGCTTGTGTTAGGAGACTCCGCACTTCCACATGACATTCTAAGTAATTGAAGTTACAATGAAGATAATGTAAACATGCAAGATTAACAATAAAACAAGAAGAAAATAAATCAAGTTAAACTTACAATTCTAATCGCAGAGACAATGAATGTTATTATGAAAATACCAGATCGCACAATGTATGTATGTGTAGTATGTCAATCATGTATAGTGAGTATGTGTATGAGTGATTGAGTGAGTAGGTGAGTGAAAGAGTGAGTGCAAATATGAGTGTAAGATTATCAGGAACTGTGTGAGTTGAGATATATGGTTTTCTTTCTTTTTTTTTTTTTTTTTTATCTGTTAATTAACCAGTTCACCAATTAGCCCTACGACAAAGTCTTGGGATCGAAGGAATCCGAAAAGATTACCTTCACTAATTATATCTATGCACACCAGCCCAGTTTTTAATAATCCTGTTATTAAAGAGTGGTTATAACCGACTCAACTTCGTCATACGTCTTTGTTTTGAGCCAGTCCATTACAGCTTTTTTACAGTCCCAAAGTTTCATGGGATAGATTCGCAGTTCTTTGTTCAGCAAGTTGTATAAATAAGATGATTGCCTCGGGTATTGTCTTTTAGCAAAGGCAGATCTCACCCTAACAGTTGGGGCGACCAAATGGTCTCTTCGGTTTTTTGGCTTACAATGGTCGTATGGGAGAGTTATGTGTTTTTTCAGTATGAGTCGGAGTAAGTAAAGTTTTCTAACAGATAAAAGATCAGCTGATAAATAAAGGGCATGCGTAGGGTATCTATAGGGTTTAAAGAACATTACCTTAAGTAAGGCTCTTTGAGTCCTCTCAAGTTCCAAAAATTTCATTTTTGTTGTGCCTCCCCAGCAAGGCAAACAATACATGAGGATAGGATAAACAGTACTAAGAGCTGAAGATTGAGGAGATGGCTATTTCCAGCAGAGGGCAGGGGAAACAGTCCATAGGCAATCATTTTTCATCCATTTATGAAATTAAACTGGGGTACTTAATATTATAAACGCGAAAATCAATTAATTACACTTTTTAAACATTTCCAAACAGCTGAGCATTCAAGATCAATAAATTTTTCATCATATTAACTACCAAACCACAAAGTACATAAAATAGTAAATAGTTTAGTACATAAGGTAGAACTAGTTACAGGTGCGTTTTCCTAGACATTGTATAAGAATAGTCAATAAGTTATCCAAGTAACATATTTGAAATTAATGAGGTGTTGTTTGATGGTTAGAGAATATTTATGGCTACTGTTTATCAATTTTACTGCCACTTAACGACTCTTATGACCCGGTCCATCAGGAGTAAAAAGCCAAGGGAACTCCGTTGTGCAACAAATGTTTAGTCATATGAAAATTTTAAGGAAAACTGTACAGTGACTCATCGTAAAAAACTTTAATAGTGATGATGATGATATTATTATGATTACAGGGAAAATACATATTTAATTGTATAATTTCTTACGTCAATAGAAATAATGGTGAATATTTTTTTAAAATAAAAATACAACTTGGAGCTCTTAACCCTTTGAGTACCGTCATTACACAATTAAAGAACAATAGGTGAGCAGGTTGTGGTGTTTGACAGTTTAAATCTTAACTTAATAATTTTTGACTGGAGTTGACCCGATCTTGATTGCATACCTATATTATGCAATAATAAATTAAGTACCTTTGTAATTAGTTATAATTATAAAATAATTATAAATTACAAACTATATACATGCTATAAATTATACAAAATTGTCCTTAATTATTATCTTTTTACAGGTACTTTAACCAATAAGGTTATAAATGAATTAATTTTGTATCGACACAGATAAAACAGTTCAACATAAAATACTTATCAGTCATAGACACACACACCTGTCTTGTTTAGTTAAAGGAAAATGTGTATTTTGAGTCTGAATTTTTCCTCAAACAGGATCCTCAACAATTTTCAGGATTAATAACAAACTATTAACAGATAGTAGGTAATTGTTACACTAAACACAATTTTACACAAGAAAATCATAGGCCAAGAGTAACCACTTCCCTAAAAAAATCTGAAAAGTTCATTAAAGTTTAGAGCTTGCTTTAGAGTAAAAATACAGTTTTAGCAGTAAAAAAGAGTTAAAAATTTTAACATCAATGATGGGAATAATCCAAAGACAAAATATATTTTTTATTTACTTTTTGCGACAAAAAAAAATATACATATTGATTATTTGTGTTTATTACTAAAATAACAGCATCTTTTTTACAGAATTCGTAAAGTCGTTTTAAACATGTAAGGCATGAAAGGAAACTAAGTATAGGTTTAATCATATTTGGTAGCATGAAGTCATATTTCCTGTATAGTCTATAAGTACTAAGAAGTAACATGCTATGCTCAAATTACACAGGACAATCCACAATAATGTGTAATGCCATGCTCTTAAATTCTCTTTTATGACTTTTTTCTATCAACAACACAGATTCTGATACCAATCTTATTGGATGCAACTTTTTTACTGCTAATGTCAGATCGAAAAAGGTTTCAACCTCTATATTGTAATTGGTATTGGCAGTTCTTATTACATACGACAATTTTCTCGCTAACGAGTATGGAAATAAAATAAACGGAAAACAAGAATTCTATTACATTAATGATTATTCATTATTACGCTATCGACGCTTTTACCGCATTTTTCTAGGCATTCTAATTCATGCTTCATTGATTTTTGTGAAAATTTAAAAAAGGAACGTGTATCATTTTTTTTCTGCCGTCACACGAAATTATACATCACGCGATTTAGCGCTAATAGGTTATCAAACTTGTCGATTTTTTATCACTTGTAAATAATATATGAAAATATTTGTAGTTACTTACTTCTCTATCACGTAGCGCACGAGTATAAACACAAATGCTAACGGTATAGGAAAGAAAACGTGCGTATGATCCGTGTAAACCACCGCCTTATCGGGACCAGGAGCGATGTCTGCCCATGTCGTATTTGGCGGCAACCACACATCTTCATTCCAAAACTTATCGAGGAGATACCTCAACATTATTGGCACTGTAATTCTGTTTTGAAAACTATTATATTAAAACCAATTCAATTTTTACAATGTGTACGAGCACCTCCTCACGGCTTCATTGAGAAAAAAGTGACAGGTTGTTGCCAAGTTGCCATGTTTAAACCTATAAATGTTGCCATTTCATAAAATTAGACGTTATTTTTTATTTCGATTATTTTTCTTGATAATACCAATCAATAGGTACCAATTTGAATAAATCGCCTCAGTAAAAAATTTAATACATCTGTCCCATTTTTTGACCTACAAAGTAGTCTCGCTTTTTTTGTTTCGAAGATAGCTTGGTATAGTACAATTAGAGGTAATTCTATTCTGCCAGTAATATTACACCATGTTGCAATACGTGCCGAGTGTATGTACCGATGTATCTACATATTATGTATAATATACGATCACAGAATAATCTATGAAATTCAAATTAAATAATAACGGGTCACTCCTTGCTTTTAAATACCTATACTCATTTGATTAAACGGTATCATAAGCCTGTTTGTTTAGTTAGATTTATTTATTTATGAGTATCACTTAGAATAGTCGTAACGATTACTATTAGTGATACAGAGTACCTACCACCATTTAATAGCAAAAAAGTCTATCTCGGAGTTGCTAATATTAATAAGTAGGCGTTCTAGCAACTAATAAACGGGTTTTAGATGAGGAACAAGGTTAAATAAAACGAAACAATTATAATAGGAATATTTTATTTATTACCTTTCAATCAACAATATCATACCAAATTCCTTGCACATAATACTACGTGTACAATAAACCTACCTTTACAGTTTTATCTAGAAGACCTTAACATATAAATGAAAAACTAATATTTTAACGTCTTTTTCATGTAATTTTAACCAATAATAACTGTATTCGTTTTTATGTCCCTAGTAAGCACCTAAATATTTATTTGCAAAATTAAGTACCTACTTAAATTATTTCCACTGTTCTTACAAGCCTTTTTTGTTTACGCCTTTATAAAGACTTTTTCCATGGCATAATTGTTATCTACTGTTTGAAACTAGCAGTTTGTCGACTTCCTCAGCGTCAGTGACTTCTGAACTGGAACTTCTCACGTCTCGGGGGACCTGGAGTAGAAATTATTTCGAAATTACACATAGGGCAGAAGTATGAAAAGGTACACCCACTTTTTACCGTTTATACATATAACGAGTACCATGTAATCAGGTATTATAGTCTATTGCCATACATTGGGCACACTAGATTCCGTATAATAGGTACCTACTCCATAACATATTGTCTGAGCCGGGAGTTGAATCCGAAATCTTTGTTAGAAAATCACATTAGCATTAACTAGCATTTCCTTTATTGTTCTTTGGTGAACTTTTCAAACAGGCAGCAGTGGCATCCGAGACCTTGTCGAGATGAACCTTTGGGGCTACGCGTGCTTAGAGTGGTGACTCTATTCACTTACTCGGTGACCTCAGAGAATACGATGGCACAGTTATCAAATGTCACAGTGCACAGCGAAGCTTAAATTCTTAATCCACAACACAACATTTGTTCATACAAAAGTAGCCTCTAAACATTGGAAATAAGGGAGGTAATGGAGTAAGTGGATAGTGGTCACTGGTTACTGCTTGGGGACTGGGCAGGGCAGTGGAAAGCAAATCTCCCTGGAGACATTCCAGCTAGTCTAATTAGAAGACCCGATGCTCCCTTGTAGGTGTTAATAGTGGCCACACCGAGGTAGTATTCGTGAAGTAAGAATTCCACAGACCCTAAGCTTTCCCCAAAAGCTAGCCACACTCAAGAGGTTTCACCACGTCATAAAAATTTTTGGCTTAGCTGTAGTGAACTAAAGATACCAGTGCTGCACGGTTGGTGCGGTGGCTGGGCAACTGGCTACCGTGTAACGGTTAGCGGATTCAGTTCCTACACGAAGCAGCTGTTTGTGTAATTCACTGTTATTCTGAATCTGGGTGTCATGTGTAACTATGTGAAAATTAATTGTATGTTTGTAAACGCACCCATGACACAGGAGACAGTCATAGTGTGGAGGCAAAGTTTCCTTTTTAAACAAAAAAAAGGCAATATAAAACAGTAAAAAAGATAAAGAGCTTACCCCAGAACTTAAGGTATTGAATACAACTTTGACTATCAGTACCGACCAGTACACACATAGGAAGAACAGTACAAACAGCATTGCATTCACTACGTATAAAGCGACGATATGTCCCCAAAATACCATTGAACGGATTGATGTGCTGAAAAAAAAAACAATAAAAAATATAAGTGCCTAAAAAGAACACTGTATTTAATTTGTACTTGAAAATATCCATGATGGGTCATTAACCTGGTTCATTACAAAACGGATTAATGTTTTCCGAAAACCAGTCATCGTGAAAATAAGTAGTGTTAAGTGCCCCCTTAGAGGATACATTAAAATACTTTTGAATCGATACCTACCCTCCAATTTAAGTGATAAAATTGGGGTAAACTTAGGTAATTAAATGAAACAAGATAAAATTATATAAAAATAAATTAAATAATATTTAAGTACCTATACAAGTACAGCGGGAACAAATACATCCTTGTATAGAACCACACAGGCACAAATCCAATAAAAAGAGATGTCGCCAATTTCTCGAAATATGCTCTTCTTATGGCTTTCACAAACTAAAACAAAAATAATTAGAAACATAATTATACAAATTTAATATTATACCAGAAAACTGTTGTGTATCTTGAAAATATCTAATATTAAAGAATGTATGATATCAAAGATTATCCAAATAATAAATTCGCCTGTAATCGCTGGAGGCGCCATCTAGAGAGCGGAAAAACCCATCAATAAAACTAGGTGCATTAAAATACCAATATGTAGGTACAGAATGTTCGTTGTTAAAATAAAAAAGACATGTCCTACCTCAAGCCAAATTTCAGTGAGGTCCAACAACACTATGACCACTATCCCGATCCTGAAAGCATTTATAATCCAGCTGATACACAGTAACAAGATTGTTACTATGTGATGTGCGAACATTCCCCAAAAGTCCTTGCGTTTCACGTCATAGAAATAGGTGATCGTCAAAGCAATCATGTACGCCATTGTCACCAGGTAGAACCAATAAATATCCATCGTTAGTTCCTAGAAAATAATAAAGATTTCTTTTATTTGTATGTATAATAATAGTCTACACGAATCATGATTGCGTGATGAGCGTAACGTCAATGTAGACGCAAACACTTATAGTTAAGGGTCCTGCTGTGGCTCGAAACTAGTCGGAAAACTCCGTAATAAGATGAACATGAGTGCCATGGACAGTACAAATTTATTTATGTACAAGTGAACATTAATCGAAAATTAAATACTTACATGTTTTCCGAAATTAGTGTAACACTTATCGAGGTCCCAGAACCAATCTTTGTCCCACACTATGTAGTAAACTGTGGGTGTACTAAAGGAGAGGTAGAAAGTCTTCCATGCATGTTCACAGAATTTTGTGAGGCTCGAAGTTTTATCCTGGTTGCGGCGGAGGCGCCACCATCGCTCCACTTGGCGTTCTGACATGTCCAACTGTTTGGCGAGAGCCGTAGTCTGAAATGTATAGTTTGGAAGCTGTAGTTAGCAAAGTCAAGACTAGAAAGCCAAGAGCTATGGAAAAGACCAGTAGTTTTGATGATCAGTACATATCACTAATATTGGTGACTTCTTTCTTAGTTTTTACCTTTTGTTTGTTTTTATTTTTTTGGTTATCGTGTCGTTTTTTCTAAACGAAGTTTTTATTTTATCTATGTTTTATGGTAATCAAAGGCGAAGTGTTGCGAATACTGGTACCGTATCCCGTACCGATATTCTCTGGTGTCTAATGGATCATTTGTGTCCACTGACCACTCAACCACCACACATCACCAACGGAGTTTTAATCTAATTTTAGTTTTAAATTTTACATAAACTATAAAGATAGCAAAAAACCATCTTAGTAAAATATCATCTAAGGGCCTAGTGCGATTTCTTGAATTGGTTTTATTTAGCTTGCTCCGTTTGTTTGTTTGTGTGCTACACAGTCTTAATCTTCATGACTGTCTCATAATATTCTATTCTATCCCATAACTTTAATCATACGGCACGAGGTATGCGTTCGTATAGATTTGATTCTCAGAACCAGTCAGAACCACAAAGCTTGATAAATATATGATAGATATACATATTATCATGTTAATAAATAAATTCTATAGGCCTACCTACAATATCTTAAGATGCTTAGGAAGTACTTACATCTTTGTTGAGGGCATTCTTCCTATATGCAGACTCTAACGCAGGTATGTGTTGGAGATTTCTCTTCTTCTTGTTAGGAATGCCTAGAGCTAGGCCGAGAGGTATAAAACAGTATCTGAAAATAACAATCGTGGTAAAATCAAACTATTATGAAATCAATTACCTATTTAAATTCCCAGTCTACTACTAAAATTGTCAAGATCAACAACCAACTTATTTTGTAATCGAGAATATGCAAATAAAAACTTAAATAAATAAATAAAACAAAAACAACTATTTACATAAAGCATCGAATAATTCGTCCGCATCGACGTCAGTGGGAAAAGTACAGAAGGCTGGCAGCATTGCCACGTTGTATGGCAATGTTTAACCTCTGACCGAGAAAAAGACCAGCTCTCTGGTCGCGAGATGTGTCGACCAGACGTTTCGAAATGTTTTTGAATAATATAAGCACACTCGGACCCCACGGACCTAGGTCCGTGGGGGAGACGCTAGCGTCTCAACCCCAAACGGCTCAAAGATATAACTACCAGCAAGGTTGTTATACTTGCGCCGCTTGAGGTTTTCTGCAGAGGCAGCAGCCGAACCAGCACAACCCGCCGTTACTGGAAGATGAGAAGGAGCAAGGGTGTCGACGCAGGTTGCGTCCCACACCAAAGACTTTCCCAGCTTTCAGGACATAATGGACATGCCGTCGGGTCTCTTACCATCGTCGCATGCCAAACGCTTTGGTTTCAGAACAGCTGACACACCGGCGATGACAAGAGCTCGACGGATGATGTCGTTAATGCTGGCGTGTCGGGCTATCCGGCCCTCGCTTCTGCTACACGATAGTCTGCTACTGGGAATTTTTGTTTGCACGGAGTCTAGAATTGTGAAATACCGGGCGGTATATGGTAATAGGCTCCCCCCCTATTATATGGGACTCATAACATAAATAGTGAAAAGTGGGTGTTACATTGTACAGTGCAAATAAGTGCCGTAATGTGCACCTCCAACCCCTACGGGGGTGAAAGACGTGATGTTATGTTATGTTATAAAAGGCTAATACGCTTTTTTTGAAAAATTACTAAAATATGCCATAAAGCTTAGCTACTATTTTTATTTACGATTTTGAAATTAGCAGCAAAAGCAGTAACCGCTATGCTATTTCGACTTGTGACGTCACTCCGACAGTCAACAATAAGATTTTGTTAGAGATCAAGTGCCGAAAATAATGAGTTATAACTTTTATCATAGGTGTCTTGTGCCTAGGTGATTAAGTAAAATTAATAACTAGACAATTTCTCAAATCATATCAAAGCACGACAATGTGTTTGGCCTTGATTAATTTGTATTGATGGGGACTTTACACCTAGATGGAGTCGAAATGTCATTGAGGGTCAGATGATGAAGAAGTGTAATTGTAAAGGGAACTCCTCAACGGTACAGTAACTACCTTGTATTTGGGCTTGACAATTTTTTATTGATGAGAACTTTACACCTAGCTGGAGCGGAACTGTTATTGATGGTCTGGTAATGAAGAAGTGTAATTGTTAAGAAAAGTCTTTAACAGCTTTTTTTATGGCATAAGCCGGTAAACAGATCACCTGATGGTAAGCAATCGGCGTCGCCCATGGACAACTGGAACACCAGAGGCGTTACAAGTGCGTTACCGGCCTTTTGGGGATTAGGAGTTTGAGGATCGTTGGGGATTCAGGGATTGGGGAGATTAGGCAAGGGGAGGGTAATTGGGCCTCCGGTAACATCACTCACACGACGAAACACAACGCAAGCGTTGCTTCACGTCGGTTTTCTAGGAGGCCGTGGTATCACTCCGGTCGAGCCGCCCATTCGTGCCGAAGCATGGCTCTCCCACACTTAAGTAACTAAGTAACTAATCTTTGGGCTTATATAATTTGTATTGATTAAAACTTTGCACCTATGTGAATTATACGCAGTGAAACGTGTCTATGTAGCTACGATAACATAATAAAAATAAAAACTACCTACGTTTAAAAAACCCGACTACAAGAAAATACAAAATTAAAAACGAACAGACTTCTTTTTTGAAAATCAAAAAATAATTTATTAGTACTGATAAGTTACCCACCCACTAATAGATAGAAGTCGATGCCAAAAGTGCATACCAAAATGATATAACTGGTTACGAAATTGTAAACAGGTTTATATTAGGTAGGTATAAGGCTGCCGCGGAGAACCTAACGGGTTACTAGGGCTCCAGCTCGACGTGCAGGAGTACGAACAGGGCGGTTTTTAGTCAGTAAGAGTCTGATACTCCCTCCCGCCTCACCGAGGCGGGAGAAGTGATTCGATGATTTTCGCCCCATAAAAAAAATCTATTAAGGTTATAATGGTTCATTTGTTTAGAACTTATGGCACCGACTTCTAACATATCAATATTAGTTAATATTTTTTTTTATTTTTAGTTTTTATGAATATATATCTATCAACATTATTCGTTTATACAAACTCTTTGCATTCTATGATACATACACTCACTTTTCGTCCATGACATGCCTAATTAAACCAACGCATATAGAGGCCCGAGATTTCCCTCTATACGAATTTGTAATATTTAAAAATACCAAACACTCTTTCTCCAATTCTATGCGAAGACCCCTTGCTCGGCCGTCCGCCCTATCAACGAAGCATACTTAGATTAATAAAAAATCATAATTCTTTTATAATCTAAGTTTAAAGAAACCGACTTCAACTCTCCCTTTTTTCCTTCTTCTAACCTCCTCCTAACTACTCCTAAGTGTAATAAATACTTTTCTGAAAACAGCATCAAAAACGCATATGCCAATCGCGAGACATAGGTATATTATATATATATAGGTCAAATTAAGAACCTGCTTTTTTTGAAGTTGGTTAAAAAGAAAATTAGGTACTTACATGTTCAATATATACCTTAGGACGAGTAAGCCAATCGCCAAAGGTATAACATAATAAAAGTCAGTTATATCAGGATGTAACACAGTTTTGTCCGGTCCATTGGTCACGTCAGCCCACTTCACTCCATTAGGAAGCCACCAGCGTTCATCCCAAAACAATGCCGATAACCACTTTAATGTATCCATTTTAGTAACAGTCCATAAATATAGATAATTGAAATTATTTAATAGTAAAATTATAAAATAGTAAAAAGAATCACTTATTTGGAATTTTTTTTTTTAATATTTTAATTTAATAATTTGTAATCTTTCACGAGGTCCGAAAATGTGTGCGTCAGTCACGTCGGCGCGTCGAATCATGAGCAATATTATAATATGTACAGGCTAACTAGATCCGGAAAACGTAACGCGGCTATTAGATATGGTTTTTTGAATGAATGTAAATGGAAAACTTGTATTTCAGTTGACGAAGCAGGTACTAATCATATCCAAAAATACCTAAGTATATGTATTATCATGTTTAAATACTTGAGCTCTAATCTAATCGCGATCATAAAATACATATAAACACTTAATCAGCACCTATGCAGATAATGCAGTATGGATACACGTCAGTATTTAGAATTAAAAAGGAACCGCGAAATGGGACTGGGTATCGGGCACCGTCCAAATTATATCCTACTTCGCGTTAATTAATTGTTTTAATCTGCGTTTACGTATCATAAAGTGCATACAAATGTATTATTTATTCAGAGGTTCTTTTTTCTTACCTCATCTAAAGCGGGTGAAGTCATTGGATGATTTCCCCCCCTCAAAAAAGAATTCTATACCTCTAGAAATACTTTTTAATCAGTGGCGTAACTATAGCGTATGAGGCCCGTGGCACTGGCAAATACATCGCATGAGATGGACACCGTTCTCTATTAAAGAAGTCCATATGAAAATCTCTGGATGCCGAACGGGGCCCCTTCCGGCTGGGGGCCCGTGGCATTTTGACGACTTTCCACCCTGTAGATACGGCACTGCCTGTAATCATCGGAAAATTGGTAGATAACTGCTATCTGTTGTCTATGAATCACTTAGCTGTAAGCCGTACTTCTGTAGATAAGATAAGTATTTACCTAGTTACGGTGACCACCCACCAGAACTGTTTTAGTGTAATAGGAATCCCAATTTCTCTAGTCTTTCTTTCGAAAACCTAGGTGCCTTTTGATTTTTTTGTATATAGGGAAGCATTAACGTAATAAACTATACCAATATTACCAAATAAAAATATACTACAGTCAGGATCTCTATTGGCAAAAACAGAAATACAATACCACGTTCTTGAGTGGAGTTTATATGTCTATAGCCTACTGTTATCTAAACGATGTTGTTTTGTTTTCGACAACCACGCGAAAGAAGTCGCGGGTACGGCTAGTTCCTAATAATAACGTAGGATTAATCAAGCTTGCGGCTCTTAGCAATTTGACTTAAGGATTTGTGTCGAAATTCCATTAAATTCCAACAGTTTAAAATCAATACCATTAAGAAACTCAAACTCCTAATCCCCAAATGGCTGGTAACGCCCTTTAACGCCTCTGGTGTTTTTGCTTACCATGAAGTGATCCGTCTGCTCGTTTACCGGTTTATGCCATAAAAATAAACGTCTGGAGTGGCAGCCGTGGAGCAATACTTACCTAAACGCCTGCGAAGAAGACCATAGATGTGCTGAAAAGATGACTTGAAGAGGGTTGCACTGGACTGCAAAGAGCTGAATGGTTTTGACTTCACGGTTGCCGTCATGCCGCAGTGGCTGGGTAACCGGTCGCGAGCCTGCTATGCAACTTGTAACATGTTCGGTTGCCGCACGGAACAACTCTTCGAGTGATCCACAAGTTGTAGTTTCAGGTGTTTTTTTTTTAAAGGGTTTCCCCCTTCATCATCATCGAATTACTGCTCCCGCCTGGGTAAGGCGGGAGGGAGTGTCAGACTCTTACTGATTAAAAACCACTCCGTTCCTTCTCCTGCACGTCGAACCGGAGCCCCGGTGACCCGTTAGGTTCTCCGCGACAGTTTCAGGTGTAGGTATGTTATGTTTATTATAAACGCACTCAAGACACTGAAGAAAGTTCTAGTGTAGGCGGTGCAGGTGCGCGAGGCAATGTTTTTGTTAAAGAAAGAATACCTACAGACACGAATGGAGGATGTTAAAGATTGAAGGAGGCTACACCATGGCGTTCATGGTGGTAGAGAATGGCTAAAGAAGTATAAATTCATGACAAAACAAAATAGGCATCACTCCAATGTATTCTAAGATATTCTTTTTTTAGATAGGAAAATGTGTTTAATTCATCTTTTTAAAACTAACTAAGGATGCCTCGACAGACTCGTCCTTTTTCCGCAATAATAACCGTGTGATGACGGCCTTTAACCCGACTTCATTTACATTTTAGTACCACAGTACCTACATTGCATAACGATATTATAGGTAAGTACTTGTATAACGTGCAAGGTCAATAAAATTGTAATATGAAACCTGTTTTGAAAATTCAAATTAGGTAAATATACCTACGAAGAACACGTATTTTTAACAGATATTAATAATTGTTATTTTTTGTTAAAATAATTGCTTAATTTTTTTTAGTCATGTTTTATGATCACGGAAGCGGAAAGTGGTGCTGAGATGAATCTGTGTCATGGCATGCCACAACACAGATTCCAATGATGAAGCGTTTTAGGTACCTACTGAGCCCTTGTCTAATTCCATACCTGTGGTAGGTATAATGTACCTATTCTATAGATAACTAATACATGTCCATACAATGTCTTGGGTGAGACAAGAGCGTGTCAGACTCTCACTGACTAGAAACCACTCCGTTCCTACTCCTACTTTGAGTGGAGCCTCGGCGGTAACCCGTTAGGTTGTCCGCAGCTCCGTTTCCCGATCTACCGAAGTATCTAATAAATATAAATCAACATTTAATGAGAACCATATTTAAGAATTACTTATTGAAACATTTCCTACATAGGTACTTACATGCAGGCCAGCCGTAAGAGGACATTCAAATCATCATCGCCGGGAAAAAATCCCACACGACGCAAGTAATATTCGTGTTATTATTACTATCTATCGTCATCAGTTAAGAATAAGACTAAGATGCAGCAATATCAAACTTCGAATCATTCGAAAATTGTTCACCGCCTGTTCCCGTTCAGTGGCGCCCCAAATTCTATACAAGTCGAAACCGACTAAAGATTTAGTAGTTTTCTATAAATGATAGGACTTGTAAAATTCGGAGAATCTTATTACACTTTTTTATATTTGATGAACCGACGTTTGACCACTATTTCGCCTGGTGGTCAAATACTCGCCGCCCAATACCGGTAAATGGCATGGCATTCCGAATCCGACGCAAGAATTACTCTAAGCTTACTTTTTGCCGCCCTGTCGCCCTAAATTCGAAGTCTATTGAGCGTCCGCGAAAACTATCGAACGTCCTCGATCACTTTTTAGAGTCACTCGAAATCTATCGAGTATCTTTTATGATTTTCGAGAGGTAGCAGGAGACGCTTTGGGTGTAATATCGCGTTGCGTTGTAGGGATCTCCGGCCACCGTAAGCACGAGTCTGCGGACGGCAAGCAAGGATAGCTCACCACCTGACAAGGACTAGACCCGAGCGTACGGCGCGTTGCGTAAAATGGGGCCCTCAAAGAGCTATCAGACCACTATAGACGGAGCCCAACAGGATTGTTGCCTTGATTGAGGGTAGGTTGTCATATGGGTATCACTGAGGCCATGAATTTGAGCAAGTGTTGGAAAGAATAGGGTGGTTTTTAGTTAGTAAGAGTCAGTTCCTCAAGAGTCATTAATTTGATGACTTTTTACCCACCCAACAAAAGGGCCCGGCATAATTGGTAGGTATATGCACGCGGTCGAATAGCAAGCGACAGGCCTGCTTTATCAAGTTAACGCCCGAATACTGAAAGGCTACTCAATTTTAAGTTAAATATTGTGCCATCCAGTGACAAAACTATACTTACACTGTTGAAAATTATTGAAAATCATCCCCTAAATTTGTTCATACAAAAGTAAAGTAAGTCTCTAAACATTGAAAATAAGGACTATAATGTAGTTACTGGAGAACGGTCACCGGTGACCGTTTGGGAATATATGGATGCGCAACTTAAATTGAGCGGCGTTAGAATGTTTCGACATAACAGAACTTTGTTTTATAAAATGTTGTCTGAAGCTTGACACGATGAACGCACACACTTGTTTTGCCCTCCTCTGTAATAATATGTATTCAAATCTTTAAGTTTCATCATATCAATCACAAGACATCCACAGCTGAAGATAGGCTTTCCCAATGACTTTATACGCCGGTTGGAAGCGACCGGCATCCAGCGGCTCCCTGCAACCTTATCTTTAAGTTTAATACCTTTAAATCGTTGTAGGTACATGTACACTTTGTACATTTTTAAATTATAAAAAACAACAACACATACACATTATCAAACATATTATAGGTATTTATAGGTTTTTTTGGGGGAAAAATCATCGAATGTCTGCTCCCGCCTGGGTGAGGCGGGAGGGAGTGTCAGACTCTTACTGACTAAAAACCACCCCGTTCCTTCTCCTGCACGTCGAGCCGGAGCCCTGGTTACCCGTTAGGTTCTCTGCGACAGGTATTTATAGGTATTGTTTCATCGAATACAAAGACACATTATATTGCAAAAAACACTCGTAATTCGCAGCATCACATACACGTGTGTAGCGTTGTAGGTAAACTGTAGACACAACCAGTCTTGTGAACTTTGTACTAATATTTTTTATAATATAAAAAACCTACTTATATAAATTATATGGGTAATTAATAATAACACTTTATTAGAACTGCTAAGGATTGGAATTCTTTGCCAGTATGTGTCTCCTGAACGGTGTAAGTGAGGTATCTTCAAGGCCCAATTGAAAAAGGTTGTATAAAAGCCAGGCGTGCTCTATCGTAGGCTGCCTTGCCCTAGCTGGGGGCTTTAACTTCTTGTTAGTGGCCACCGTAGAGTTTGTCCGGTTAAGTAAATTGAAAATGTTCTAAATTGTGGATGTTACGCCATCTAGCGACAAAATGGCAGTTGAGATCATCTCCTTAAGATGCAGATGTTGAAATACGTGTGTTCCTATCCAAAAAAAAACCTCGTAGGCTGC